AAAAATAGATGATTCTATTGGTACGAACTTATAGAACGACCTAATACTTGTCGAGAATTTGCATGCTAAGAAAGTGTTTGACCAAATTCTGCTCTACCAGTTGCTGGCACTTTTTTTAGGTTTCCAGGAGAGGTTCTGGGCTCGCAAAAAATTAAAATTTATCCAGAAAATTTCGATAGGCATAAATAACCCCTGTATCTAAAAACTTTGTCTCGTTCCATCCCTTTCCAAAATTTTCGGTAGGCCATGCCTCACTTAGATACTCAAAGAAATCGATTTTAACCTGCCCTTCCCAGCTTTTTCGTTCCAACCATCAATTTTTGCAAATTTGGCGTTTTTCCATAATCCTCTTATCAGCATGTGGTCTAAAAATGTTCAATGGTCTCCGACAATCACACAATTATTTTGAATATCAATGACAAAGTTTTTAGCTGCTCGTTGTTTGCACCGGACCTTTTTTCAAGCAAGCGTAAAGATGGATCAGTCTATAAGATTTCGGATTACAGAAAATAATATAAAATTTGAAGATGCTTACAAATTCGAAAAAAATCTTTATTTACACTCTATCTTGGACAATATAAAAATCATCACATGTATGAAATATGGGTAATGCCTTGAATCTGCACCATTTTAGCATTTTGCCAGCAATTTCTTGGCTTCGTTCACTTTATCTCGTTCATCCTCATTGGCCGGAGTCAGCACCAAAAGCTTGTTGATGTACTTCTTAGCATTTGCCTGCATGTATACAATCTTTGGAACTAATAGACCTAGGACTTCTAGACGCTACCTTATCATTTAAAGCCAAATAAGTCCGTATGAGCCAGACGAGATTCTCAATCCATTCTGGTTTGAGCTCATATGCAGCTAAAAAGTCTGCCAACGCTTCTTCCATGGTGGCAACAGGCGGAGCGGAGTAAAGTATCGTAGCAGCCTGGATGACTATGATCTATTAGTATACATGATTTTCTAATAAAATTATGGCTTCACCTTTCGTTCGACCCAGGTGAGGCTAGCCACAGAATGGGAGAACCGTCCGC